AGTATGGTGCTGGCGTATCTGTATTTGCCCAGCGCTATCAGGAGGCTGAGGCAAGAGATCGCTTGAAGACCCAGAAGGCAGAGGTTGCAGTGAGCCGAGATTGTGCCACTGCACTCCAGCCTGGGCAACAGAGCGAGACTCCATCTCAAAAAAGAAAAAAAAAAAAAAACCACCCTGGGTCAGGCGCAGTGGCTCAGCACCTATAATCGCCACGCACTTTGGGAGGCCAAGGGCGGGTGGATCAACTTAAGCTCAGGACTGCAGACACCAGCCTGGCCAACATGATGAACCCCATCTCTACTAACAATACAAAAAATCAGCCCATGTGTGGTGGTGTGTGCCTGTAGTCCCAGCTACTCAGGAGGCTGGAAGGCAGCGAAAACATCCTTTGAACCCAGGAGGTGGAGGTTCCAGCCAGTAAGCTGAGATTGCACCCATCTGCACTACCAGCCTTATGGGTGACAGAAGTGAGACTCTGTCTCCAAAAAAAAAAAAGAAAAGAGAAATACCCTTGTCCTAGGCGGGCGCGTGGCGCGGCGAGGCGCGTGAATTCGCGAAGCGAGACTGAGAGGACAAGAAAGTTGGATCACGAAGGACTGGCTAATTTTTGTGTGTTTTTTGTTTTTTTGTTTGAGACAGAGTCTTGCTTTGTTGCCCAGGTTGGAGTGCAGTGGCGCAATCTCAGCTCGCTGCAACCTCCACCTCTCTGGTTCAGGCGATTCTCTTGCCTCACTCTTCCAAGTAGGTGGGATTACCAGCGTGCGCCACCATGCCTGGCTAGTTTTTGTATTTTTAGTAGAGACGGGGTTTCACCATGTTGGCCAGGCTGGTCATGAACTCCTGACCTCACGTGATCCACCCGCCTCAGCCTCCCAAAGTGGTGGGATTACAGGCGTGAGCCACCGCACCTAGCTAATTTTTGTATTTTTAGTAGAGAGGGTTTCACCGTGTTGGTGAGGCTAGTCACAAACTCCCAACCTCAAGTGATCGCCAGCCTCATCCTCCCAAAATGCTGGGATTACAGGCATGAGCCACCGTGTCTGGCCCAGCATTTTCTTAATGTACTTTTTTTTCTAATTCTCACAACAACCCAGAAAATTAGTTGTTATCCTGAGTTTTTGCAGATAAGGACTCAGAAAAGTTATGGAATGTGTCCACTCTCATAGTTCTAAGTAGCAGAGTCAGGATTTGGGCCTAGGTCTACCTGCTGCAGAGCTTGCTCTTACATACCACATTTCCTTTGTAGATTACAATGATGGCAGTGTAAGCAGTCTTGATATGTCCTTCATCTTCTAGGTGAGGTCATAGAGGAAGCCTCCATGCATTCTGAGAAATACCCTCAGTGTTTGTCAATAGAGTCCTGAGATGAACAGAGCATTTGCTTTCATAGCATAGTATTTCTCATGTGCTTATAATTTTTAATGCAGTTGTGCAATAAATGTTCCCAGATATAGGGAACAAAGCAACGGATGAGAGAATCCTTGAGTGATACAGCTTGTTTCTTTTTCTCAGAGACACTGAGAGGAACAAAGACATTGCTTTTCTAGAAGCCCAGATCTATGAATATGTAGAGATTCTTGGGGTAAGTGACTGACTGCTGAAAGTGGAAAATGGTATAAAGCACAGGAGTTAAAGGGAGAGGAACTCACGGAAGATATTTTTTTCATTAGGTTCAAAAGAGGAGTGGATAGCTGATAAACTAGTATGGCACAAAATAGAGGTCAGGGTATGAGGCTCTTCAGTAAGTTCCTATTCTGTTGTTAGACGATACTTCCAAAATTGTCCAATTCCCATAAAGCCAGGCATGGAGAATACAGTCCCCTCGCAATATAATATCCAGAATAGTGCAGATTCTGTGCCTGAGCTTCAGAAAATACTCAGGGGTAGCCCACAAAGCAGACAAAGCAAAAGGGCAAGTAACAAAAGCTACTCAAAGCAGCCTTTCAGTTATGACTTATAAAAAGGCATTTTCATAAGTCATCTTATGTAAGTCAACTTACATGTTCATAAGATTGTGAGAAAATTAGTAGGGCTAGAATATTAGTAGTACAAAGCTGGCAGTGAATGTGCTCCTTGAATATTTTAGGAAGAACTGAAGTGTGGGTTGGGGTAGAGAAAGGCCTAGCCTGACCAGTATGCTTGTCTCAGAGAGAAAGTAGGGAGAGGAGTAGGAGGAAAAGAAATCTCTTTCCAGAAAGAAAAAGTGGAAGAAATGGCAGCACTCATCCAGAGAAGATGATCAATGTCTTTGGAGTCCTTCAGAAGACCAGCCTTTCTGATCGTGTCTGCTGTGTACAGTTTTTTTGTTTTTTGTTTTTTGTTTTTTTTTGAGACAGAGTCTTGCTCTGTCGCCCAGGCTGGCGTGCAGTGGTGCAATCCGGGCTCACTGCAACCTCCGCCTCCAGGGTTCAAGCGAGTCTCCTCCTGAGTAGCTGGGACTACAGGCGTGCGCCACCATGCCCGACTAGTTTTTTGTAGTTTTAGTAGAGGCGGGGTTTTGCCATATTGGCCAGGCTGGTCTCGAACTCCTGACCTCGTGATCAGCTTGCCTCAGCCTCCCAAAGTGCTGGGATTACAGGTGTGAGCCACCACACCCAGCCCGATTTTTAACTATCTCAGAGCCTTTCCTTTTACACACACTCGCATGGTCCTTTTAGTGGATGGCTCTGGGTCAGATAGCTTGTTTACATATTTTTGTTAATTGCCATGGACATTTTCATTCTGCTGCTGAGGACCATTCATATAATAGCTGTAGAACTAGTCACCTGTGATTCTGTTATGACCGCTTTCAGTAAAAGGCTAGCTAGACATTGGACGTTGGAGAGACATATTCTCCACTGTGACCTTGGGTTGTGCTAGTGTGGGCAGCAGGCTGAGTTGCCAGTCTTGTGAGTGTCTGGGAAGCCACTCATGCCCTTGACATGAGGTTTGTCCACTTTCTCCGTCCTTTTTTTTTGAAACAGTACCTCACTCTGTCACCCAGGCTGGAGTGCAGTGGCGGGATCTCAGCTCACTGCAACCTCCGCCTCCTGGGTTCAAGTGATTCTCGTGCCTCAGCCTCCCTGGTAGCTGGAACTACAGGTGTGTGCCACCACACCTGGCTAATTTTTGTACTTTTGGTAGAGACAGGGTTTTGTCTTGTTGGCCAGGCTGGTCTTGAATTCCTGGGCTCAAGTGATCTGCCTGCCTTGGCCTCCCAAAGTGCTGGAGCCACCAGGCCGGCCTCCATCCTTTAAGAGCATTTTGCTTTCCCTGCCAGGAGATGGCAGTATTCTCTTTGGAATTCCAACCAGTTCTAGCCAAATGCTTTCCAGAAGTTGCTCTCACTATGAACTGATAAGATTTTTGCCGTTATTATACTATTTGTTGATGTCTGTTGGTTTTTGGACATTATGCAAATTTTTTTAATACAATAGTGAATATGACACAGCCTCTTGCCTTTGGGAAACTCATTTTGTGGTTAGTGGAGACAAATAATTACAATATAATTTGATACTTACCTGAATACAGTGAGGTTGAGTCTTCTAAGTAGAAAGAGGGAGAAGAAAAAGTTTCTGGTGGAGGAAACAGGAATCACAAAGATACAACAGTATTAGATAAAATTATATCTCCTAATGCTAACCCTCCCCCCTCCCACCACCCCCCAACAGGCCCCAATATGTGATGTTCCCCACCCTGTGTCCAAGCATTCTCATTGTTCAATTCCCACCTATGAGTGAGAGCATGCGGTGTTTGGTTTTCTGTCCTTGCAATAGTTTGCTCAGAATGATGGTTTCTAGCTTCATCCATGTCCCTACAAAGGGCATGAACTCATCTTTTTTTATGGCTGCATAGTATTCCATGGTGTATATGTGCCACATTTTCTTAATCCAGTCTATCATTGATGGACATTTGGGTTGGTTCCAAGTCGTTACTATTGTGAATAGTGCCGCAATAAACGTATGTGTGCATGTGTCTTTATAGCAGCATGATTTATAATCCTTTGGGTATATGCCCAATAATGGGATGGCTGGGTCAAATGGTATTTCTAGTTCTGGATCCTTGAGGAATGGCCACACTGTCTTCCACAATGGTTGAACTAGTTTACAGTCCCAACAACAGTGTAAAAGTGTTCCTATTTCTCCACATCCTGTCCAGCACCCGTTGTTTCCTGGCTTTTTAATGATTGCCATTCTAACTGGTGTGAGATGGTATCTCATTGTAGTTTTGATTTGCATTTCTCTGATGGCCAGTGATGATGAGCATTTCTTCATGTGTCTGTTGGCTGTATAAATATCTTCCTTTGAGAAGTGTTCATGTATTTTGCCCATTTTTCGATCAAGCTGGCTTCATACCTGTGATGCAAGGCTGGTTCAACATACGCAAATAAATACACGTAATCCATCACATAAACGAACCAAATACAAAAGCCACGACGATTATCTCAATAGATGCAGAAAAGGCCTTTGACAAAAGTTCAACAGCCCCTTCATGCTAAAAACTCTCAATAAACTAGTAATTGATGGGGTGCATCTCAAAATAACCCAGGAGAGCCATTTATGACAAACCCACAGCCAAGATCATACTGAATGGGCAAAAACTGGAAGCATTCCCTTTGAAAACTGGCACCAAGACAGGGATGCCCTCTCTCCTCACCCAATCTATTCAACAATAGTGCCTGGAAGTTCTGGCCAGGGCAATCAGGCAAGACAAAGAAATAAAGGGGTATTCAGTTAGGAAAAGAAGAAGTCAAAATTGTCCCTGTTTGCAGGATTGACATCGACTGGTCATACTTAGTAATATGAAACCCATACGCTCTCAGGTCCACAAATCTCCTTAAGCTGATAAGCAACTTTCAGCAAAGTCTCCAGCATA